CGGCGCCGCGCCTGCAGCCGCGGGCACCCGCCGCCGCCCGAGGGAAGACCGGCCCCGTCCGAGCCAGCCCAGACGGACCCCGTGCCCGACGGCGGAGCCCCGTGTCAAGCGGCAACCAGTCTGAGAGGGGGGCAATCCCCTCCTGCCCCCAGTGCACCGGGACCACCCCCCAGCGCCCATCCAGCCTTTCCTCCACACCTCCCCTGCCCGGGTCGCCGGGATCCTGCACGTGCAGGGCATCCAGGCACCCGACACCCGCCCGGGGGCCACGCGGGGCCGGGCCCGGCGGGCACGTTCCTTGCAGGGCGCAGGAGCCCGCGGCTTCCCTGGACCCCGGGAGCCCCGAGCCGGGCAGAGGCGCTGGCTCTGGGGCTCGTCCAACTTACCAGCCCCTCAGCCGGGGTCGCCTCACTTCCCTCCTGGGTCCCTGCTCTCAGGAGACGCCGTCCGGCATGGGGAGGAGACAGGACACAGGCCACACGGGTGCCTGGGCTCCGCCTCGTGCTACTGCTGGGCAATTTCAATTAAAAAAAAAAAAAATGTTTCCTTAAAATCCACCGTTTTTGCCAAAAGGAGCCGCTGAAGTTGGAAAACTTCATTTTCCATTGGAATAAAAGCCCAGCAGAGCTCCAGCATTGCAGCCGGGCTCCCAGGACGCCCTTTGCAGGCAACTGGTGGCTCTGGCAGCGGCCCCGATTCTGCAAACGGATCCCTTCAGGGAAACCCGAGCATCCCACGCTGCAGCTGGAGCTGTTGCTGGCCCAGCGGCAGGACGAGTGTCCGGCTGCACCCGGCCGTGTCCAGGGCATATGAAAAACCCCGGAGCAAAGGCCGCGGCCAGACACACGCATGCCAGGACTTGCAACACACCCAAGGTGCATCCCCCACGCCCCTGCGCCGGGTGGCAGCCAGCAGGGCTCCTGACCGCGGTGCGGTCGTACAGCCTGCCACGGGAGGGCACCCTGCCCTCTCCAAAACCCGCCGGGGCTCTCCAGAGCGGCAGGAGCTTGCCGCAAGCACCGGGAAGGTGGCCTCAGCAAGCCCAGAGCCAGTTGCTGGCCTCTTCCAGCCGGATGTGGCGCACGGGGGTTGATTGCAAGGGCAACTTGCTAAGAGCACTGTGCCCCGTCTCCCCGGCTGCACCCGAAGCGCCGTGCACGGAGCCGGTGTGCAGAGGCAGCGTCTCCGCTGGGTGGGCATCGGGGCGGCACCGGTCCAGCCAGGACCCATGGGCCATTGGAGGGGGCTGGGTTGCTTTTGCTTTCACCCACCCGAACAAACCCACAACCTGCCAGGGGCTCACTGGGTTCATACACGGGTGCCCTACGTGGACGGATTGGGGGTGTAGATAATGCGGGACATTTTTCTCCAGTTATTAACTGGAAGTGTCATTAAGATGTAGGGGGTCTGACACTGTATTATTCTGTTTAAAAACAAAGCAAAAACCAATATAACTTTATGGGCACTCCGTTGCTAGATTATATATTACCTTTAAACAACACAAGAAACTAGGCCAAAAATAGCCTAAAGCTCCTGTGTCACTAGCCCTGCAGTCGCTATAGTTAAAAGCACCTCTCTTCTTCCAGTTCATAAAACAAAATCCAGTCTTCTTGAGCGTCTTGACAGGACCTCCCATACGTCACCTGAGTTAATATTATTAATACCCCTGAGTTATGGTTTTGAGGTTGAACTGAAACCAGCCTGCGGGGCAGCGAAACAGAAGAAAGATGTTACCAGGCCTGGGCAGCAGACGGCAACCCCGCAGGAGAAAAGATAGCTCGAACAGGGGAACAGTCGAGGCTGTTAACGCCTATGGAGTGAAGAGAGATCAGCAGGAACCAGGTGGCTGATAAGCCATGAAGTCAATGGGCCTGAATAGAAACACTGCTGAGGTTTGAGTGAATTGAAAAGGTGCAACTGCCCCATGGCACCCTCCTAACAAGAACATGATGGAGACAGGAGGCGCCGGGGCCAGGCCAGGGATGGGCGTGCTGCCCGCCGGGGATTGGTGGGGTCCTCCGGGCCCTGAGAGGGGACATGGAGGCTGCTGGGGACACGCCACTCTGCAAGGTCTGGACAACCCCTCGGCCCGGTTACAGGCCACGGGCGTCCCCCCGTGAGCCGCTGGGCTTGGGATCTCAGGGAGCGACAGCCGGAGAGCGTGCTGCCGGGCCAGCCCAGGTGGCCCTCCTCTGTGCCCTCGAAGTGGTCTCCCCATGGGCCCGCGCAGCCCCGGGGCTCCTCGTCCCCTCCCACGCTCCTACGACGCTGCGTGGAAGCACACAAGCTGGGGCCCTGGCGGCGTGGAGCGCGCGGGGCTCGAGTCTGAAAGCGATGCACTGGCGAGACCCCTGCACTTGCCCAGCCTCCGCACTCTCCCTCCAGCCCACGGCGGCCCATGGGGGCTACCCAACAGCACCTTTCGCTGCCGTCAGTCCTGGGGGCAGCAGGGAAGGACACGGGGGAAAGGCCCCTGAGAGCAGGCTGTCGGGACGGGCCTCTCACACGTCACGAGACGTGGCTTTTCCTCCTGCCCCA